TTGTCCAGTATAGGATGTTGTTTGTAGTTATGTTGTTGTTATTTACTGCTACGGGCTTGTCTAATATAAGGTGTTGTTGTTTATAGTAATGTTGTTGTTATTTAGTCTAACTGGCTTGTTCACTATAAGATCTTGTTTGTAGTTATGTTGTTGTTATTTACTGCTACGGGCTTGTCTAATATAAGGTGTTGTTGTTTATAGTAATTTTGTTATTGTTTACTGTTACAGGCTTGTGCAGCTTAAGGTGTTGTTGTTTATAGTAATTTTGTTATTGTTTACTGTTACAGGCTTGTGCAGCTTAAGGTGTTGTTGTTTATGGTAATGTTGTTATTGTTTACTGTTACGGGCTTGTCCAGTATAAGGTGTGGTTTATCTTGTTGATGTTATCGTTTACTGTTAGGGACTTGACCAGTATAAGGTGTGGTTTATATTGTTGTTGTTGTTGTTGTTGTTACAGGCTTGTCCAGTGCCAACCTGTCTTCCCAGCAGCAGCCCTACCACTTCGAATACGATGTCCCGCCGCAGCAGTCGACAAAGTACGAAGAAGAGCCACCAGAGGTCACTTTTCGATCTCAACAGAAGCTGGATGCCATTAGGAAAGTTCAGCTGGGCATTTGTCCCGCGATATCACTCAAGCAGTGCACTCGGTATGCATTCACCTCCTTAATTGTGTAACATGGTTAATTAAAATAATTTTAATAATAAATATTTCCATTTTTTAATGCTATTGTTTCACCAAACTGAGGTGAGGCATCTTAGTGCATCAGTGATACGCCTTTATTTAGTACTCGTTCTCTTATGGGTTCTTCTTTTTAATTAGTGTGTAACGGATGTTTGTATGCTGACAGTTGTAGCTGCATGTCTGCTCTCAGCATTGGAGTTCGGTCGCCGGCCACCAGGTGGTGGGACCAGCACTGGGTGAAGTCGTGTTTGTGTGGAGGTCACTGGCGTAGCAGCAACTAGGTCGGCAGCTAGGCGGTGCCCCCCCTCCCTCGCACGTGCCAGCGACTACGATGTAAGTTGTGTGTGTGTGTGTGTGTGTGTGCGTGCGTGCGTGCGTGCGTGCGTGCGCGCGTGCGTTTGTGCGTGTGTGCGTGTGTGCGTGTGTGCGCGTGTGCGGGTGCGTGTGCGTGGGTGTGTGTGTGTGTGTGTGTTTGTGTGTGTGCATGTGTCTGTGTGTGTGTGTGAGTGTGTCTGTCTGTGTGTGTAAGTGTGTGTATGCGTACGTGCGTGCGTGTGTGTGCGTTTGTGTGTGTTTGTGTGTGTGTGTGTGTATGTGTGCACGTGCGTGTGGGGATGTGCGTGCGTGCGTGCGTGCGTGCGTGCGTGTGTGTGCGTTTGTGTGTGTCTGTGTGTGTGTGTATGTGTGCACGTGCGTGTGGGGATGTGCGTGCGTGTGTACACTTGTGTATCACTCTCTATGATATCATTGTAGATGTATCAATAAAAACACTTTGAATACACTTTGAACACAATTACTTTAATCTATGCCATTACTATAAATATATAGATAATGAAACTACTTACAGCTATGATATTATTGTAAATGTATAAATTGCAATACTATAAGGTTAGATACTGAAATTAATAATCTAAATAGAAGCTCGATTACTTGTTATGAACATGGTCAAATATTTCTATAACGCGCATTTTTCATCTGGAGGGGAGTGAGCTGAACATTCATTGCCTGTAACTGTATTACACTTTGGTGACATTGCGATCTCGGCACCAGCTTTCTTAGCTGAACTTTGGCACTTCTGTAAAATGGCACTTTGGCACTTAATTTTGGCACTTTGGAACTTGAACGCTGCCGCTTCTGTGCTCACTCTGAGCTCGGCGTGCAATAACCATTTTATTACTAGGCCGGCACGTTAGTTATCGTTGGCATCAAAGCAGATCTAAGGCTTGTCTTACGTGTGTCGATTTCTCATTACAGGTGGCGTGGTATCGTCTATGGACGCCGCTTCTCCGCGTTTTTCTCCGTCCGGCTTGTGATGCGACCACGTGACGTTGCGGTGGCTCCCTCGCCTTCCACCATCTTCCTGGATGTGACCTGCTTGAGCGACGTAACCACGCTCCCCTTGAATGTCGGGGTTGTTCGGCCGGATTGTGCACACCCGGTCTGCACATGCATTGTTGCACTTGTGTCTGCCGTATGATAGACGTCGTGGCACTTCGTTGCCAAGCATTGTTTTATCAGAACGTCGCTTTGATGACTGTGATTGGCTGCAGCTAGCTGTTAATCAATACTAGGCAGATCGGTCGCGATCTGTTTAAAGCGATGGCAGTTGATTCCAGTAAAACCATCGTAACCGGAAATCGTCGTCGGTAAACGAGTATTGTAATGACTAATTAGACGCGGAAAGTATCGTCCACAGGCGGCTGGTTGTAAATTTCGGTGTGATTATCGATTTTCGGCCGTCGCTCACGATGAACGTAATATCTCGGCCGAAACCTAGCAGCGAAAGCAGCAGTGATCTATCAAGCAAGCAGCAACGTGGCGGCAGTTGCTTTGTGCTGAGTGAAATCTCGTGTTTGCCCCCCCCCCCCCCCGTCGGTATGGCTCGTTTCACACGCGTTGGTAAAATCCGCATAACATACATAATGCAGAGGCAAGAAGAAACCATTCAAAAAGAGTTGGAGACAGTGACGAAATCTCGTCGATCAAATATTATATATATATATATATATATATATATATATATATATATATATATATATATCAGGAGTTCCCTCGAGATAACAACAATTTATGCGTTTCGTTGCCACGCGAAAAGGTTAAAATGGCTTCCATTATATAGTGACCGAAATTTCTTAATAAAAATGTATTTTGATCTTGGAATGGCATACAAAGATATACTGCTCATGCTAGGTCATCACCACGACAGGCTTTTAAGTAAAAGGCACCTTGAACGGATATTAAGTGCAGCGCATCTTCATTGTAGAAGATACAGCCGTGTGGACGATGTTGTACAATTCATCCAGAGTCAGTTACATGGTTCGGGCCAATTACACGGGTATCGCATAATGTATGCCAAATGTCAACAAAGTGGCATTCGTGTAAGAAAAGAGGATGTACGATTGATACTAACAAGTCTCTTGTCAAGACGTGCCTACTTTGCGAACGGACCCAATTACATCTGGCATGTCGATGGTTATGACAAGTTGAAACCATACGGATTATGCATAAGCGGATGAATAGACGGTTTCTCAAGAAAAACAATCTGGTTAAATGTGTACAGTACAAATAATGACCCAACAATAATTGGAGGATACTTTTTAGAAGCTGTGAAGGAGTGTGGAGGGTGTCCCCAAGTCGTGCGCGGTGACCGCGGCACGGAAATTGTACATAAAAATGGAACGATATAATATCTCGTGGGAACGAGATAAAATAATCCCGGGCTCTGTAGTCCTGGCCCCTTTTATCAGATGAAAGTAACGTGCGTGAGAATTGTATTTTAAAGCCATGTCTTTGAAGCGATGCGCCTGTTTGTCCGAAACCGATGGGGACCACTGCATGTGTGTGTGTGCGTGCGTGCGTGCGTGCATGTATGCGTGCGTGCGTGCGTGCGTGCGTGTATATATATATATATATTGTATTGTATAGGTATTGTATATTTCTTGGGTTCTTGGGAGTATCGTGTAGAGGTTTATGTGAATGATGACATTTTGGACTACTCTCTGGCACGCTGTACTAATATCACAGTGAGACCAGCTTTGTGCGTTCGCTACATTATTAATATCTTCGCATTAATATCTGGTGAGCATTTTATAAGGGTATATATTTCAGGGTTATGCTTGATTTTCTTCTCAAGTCAGTTTTTTTTCCAATCATGGCATCAGTTACGATATTAGAACACACGTGAACACATGTCTGTATGTGTGTGCGTACGCGCGCGTGCATGCGTTCGCATGTGTGTGTGCGCGCGTGCGTGCGCGCGTGCGTGCGTTCGCATGTGTGTGTGCGCGCGTGCGTGCGTTCGCATGTGTGTGCGTGTGTATGTATGTATATATAGATCTGTGTTGATGAGTATAGGCCTATCCCGTGACGTTAATTTTCTGTATAAAAGCAACTTTGTATACCAGCGCATGCCCAGACCCGCCTCCGATCCATGTTCACTAGACTTCTCCCTTTCCAGTATTCCTAGACCTGCTCCTGTCAGGGCGTGGTGGCGTAATGTCAGGTAATCTATCTATCTATGTATCTATCTATCTATCTATGTATCTATCTATCTATCTATCTATCTATCTATCTATGTATCTATCTATCTATCTATCTATCTATCTATATCTGTATATATGCGTGTGCGTTTGTGGAAAACTGTAATAAGATCTGTAGGTGTAAAAACTTGTGTCAGTGGAAAATAAATGATTTTGTGCCTTTACCCTATATATACATCGATTCCATGTGTTTTCACATACTATATCACTTTCTCGAATAATTACACTTGGACAGTTAATCACCGGCCAATTACCCCCCCCCCCGGACAATTGGGCTACCCATAGACAATCCCCCCACGAACAATCTCTCCTGAGTTTTTAATATAATTTATTTGTTTAGATTATTGTGTTGAATTCGATTCCGTGAGAAAATACATTTTCAAAGGAATATTAAATTCTTTTAGCGAAAATCAAAATTGATTTCCATTCGATTTATTTCTTACATATATAAATTCTTGATAACTTTAAGCGAAAATTTTTAATAGGTAGAAACAACAAAAGCGTGGATGCGTGTTCACCCGCGCGACTGTGCGTGTCAGAGCGTCATGGCATATGTACAAATATATATATTCCTATTAGAAGGCTAGAACTTTGCGCCATTCTTTTCTTCATAGCTCGCGGGGGTCACTACCACTTCACAACCTTCACGTCTCTCAACTGTGATGCACTCACGTGTAGCTTTGTATTTCAATGAGGCCACGGCTACATGGCAACCTTTCAGTGAGTGAACGAACGGCCGCGGGTGCAGAGTCGCAATCAGCCGAGCAGCAGCGCTATAGAGAGCAGGACGTGTAGTGTGGATGCCGTGTAGAAAGAGCTGCGGCGACGGTAGCGCGGTGACACCACGGCCGTATAAAATACTGTTCGCTTGGTTGATTCGTTGGTTTGTTGGCTGGTTGGTTAGTTGGTTGGTTGGTCGGTCGGTCGGTCGGTTGGTTGGTTGGTTGGTCGGTTGGTTTGTTTATTTGTTTATTTATTTATTTATTTATCTATTTATTTGGTTTGTTAGTTGCTTGGTTAGTTAGTTAGTTAGTTGGTTAGTTAGTCAGGCAATCAATTATTGAATCGATTTAACATTGAGCACTATATGAGTCTCCCCATGGGCGTTCGCACAGCTATACATATACAGTACAAATTATACAAAGACTCAGTATACAGCTCGTAACGGCAAGACACAGAATCAAACGGTATTACTTTAAACCTTTTTTTATCGAAAAAAAACATGATATATAGGATGATATGTTGCGTGATAAAACTGACATGATTTCATTTTTCAAATATATTCACGGTGACTGATATGATGTCAATATGACGTGGCATTGTTTTTACGCGATCATATTTCTATTAAGGTAGGGGCACACGAGCGATTTTTATCGCCCGATCGCCGCGAATTTTAAAATCGCTCGAAAAATTCGCCCGTGTGCCCGTTCACGTCGACGCCGATTTTAATCGCCCGCACGAATCGCCCGTATCCAAAATGTTAGATATTTTCGGGCGATTATTTACGCCGGCGATTATTTACGCTGGCAAATTCGCTCGTGTGCCCGTGTCCGGCGTATTTTGTCGCCCGATCGATTTTTCTAAACCAATCGGACGTGTTGTTGATATCATGTGATGTTAAAATCGGGCGATTAAATTCGCTACGTGTGCCCCTTCGTGATCGGGCGATTAAATTCGCTGGCGATTTTAATCGCCGCGATCGGGCGATAAAATACGCTCGTGTGCCCCTAGCATTACGTGATGCTGCCAGGAAATAACGTTACTGCTACGTGATGATAACATGCCGTGATATTACTATTACATGATATTAGCGTTACATGATTTTACTGTTACATCACACCACCGTGACAGAATGTTACAATGCCATGATGCTACCTTGACGTGATTTTGGCATTCGATGATGGCACTATAACATGACCGCGCGCTATCAATGGGAACTAAAGACACGACTTTAGAGATTTTAACACTCGTCGTTACTGATCGTTCCCTCTTGAGCCTACTTGTGCTGTCTAACCTGATGACGTAGTCACTGCAGACGAATTACACAGGCTACACACACAGAGAGCGTATACGATTAGACGGTTACAAAGCAACATTGTAGCTCTCATTGATTTTCAGCTAAGTTAAGCGTTCTGTCTATGCTAGCTAGTACTTTTTCCATTCGAGTAGCCGTCAGTTTTGGTTATCCTACTGGCCTATCATTCATCAAATCGTTGAAAACGTTCACCTATCTTATCAGCCTAGTACGACAGACCGAACAGATTTACATGATTGACAGGCGATTTAGCCAATCAGCAATCCGATACGGCGTCCTAAAAACAATGGCTTGGCAACGAAGTGGCGCAAAGTTGTTGTTTTGGCATGGACGCGAGGAAAACACGAGCGAGAGGTTGCTAGCATGTCTGCATGATCAACCTAGCAATGATATTCGAGCTGGTTATTCCGACAGATGGGTTAGTTGTGACTTTCGGGGGCGAGTTAATCCTGGATTCGTCGGATCCTAGATCTTAGTCTGCCGCCCGCCACGCGTTTCCGTCCTTAGATCTGAGGCGCGACGGCCGACAGATGTTTGTTGATGATGCTCGTGTGACAGTCTTTGAAGACGCGCTTGATGTTGTCGGTGTCAACTGCTGTCGTGTAGTGACGGAACACGATCCGGTCCGTGAACAGACTCTGTTTACGGCTGTCAATGTCCACCGACATTCGCTTCGGTCGCTTGACGATCTCCTACGCATGAAATGATGACGCATTTAAACACACACAGACATCTACACGCACGCACGAGCACTTAAACGCACGCACGCATATATATATATATCAAGAGCAAATAATATCGAATAAGAGCTAATGTATAGCTCTTGACACACACACACATACACACACACACACACACACACACACACACACACAGACAGACACAGACACAGACACACACACACACACGCGCGCGCGCGCGCGCACGCGCACACACACACA